CTCGCTCTTTCCCCAAAACCCAAGAGTTTAGGGGAAGAGTAGTGGGGAGAGAAGTGGTCTGAGAATATGGACACCAGGTTCTAGTCCCAGTTCTGCCACCGACACGCTATGTGACATTAGGCAAGTTCCTTAACATCTCCGAGCCTCAGGCTCCACATCCATAATGAAAGGCTTGGAGATGGTCTCTGAGGCCCTTTCAAGCAATAATGATGATAATGATGGAGCTGTCATTTATTAAGCCGTTACTATATACAGGGCAACATGCTAAGGGCTGTACAAACATTAACCCTCACAACCCTATGAAGTGGGTTTTGCACATTTTATGACTATGTCCATTATATGAGTGAAGAAACTGAGGCTCCGAGAAGTTAAGTAACTTGCCCAAGCGCACACAACTTACAAGTGGTAGAGTCAGGATTTGAACCCAGGTCTTTGTGACTCTAAAGCCCTGGCTCTTCACCACTATATGGCTGCGCCTTTGCTAGAGTCCCAACAAGCCTACCACTCATTCATTTATTCAGCACCTTCCCATACCGGGCCCTGGGCCTTGTCCCTAACAAACTCTTCAGCTAAGCAGTCGAAACAGAATGGTCAGAACTGGGATGGGGGAGCACATAACCCAGCCCGGTGGGTGGTGGGACTTCCCAGAGGGAGTGACGCTGAGCCGGGGCCTGAAGGAGAAGCAGATGGACCCTGGAATTCTCCCAGTTGTGGTGCTGAGGATTTGTACAGGAAGAGAACCAGGATGCCCACTCTCCTTCTGCTCACTAGGCCTCCACTGACTTGCCCTGGTGCCCAGGGGCCCGTTGTGGGCTGGTCCCAGCTGGAGAATGGGCCTGTGTCACTGTGGAGGATGACCCATAGGTACAAGGGCTGCAGTCGGGAGAACCAGGCTTGAGATCAGACAGAGGACCGCTGCTTCCCAGCTCTGAGACTTGGCAAATTATTCAACCTTTTGGAGCCTCAGTTTGCCCATCTGTAAAGTGGGGGAGTGATGATGGTAGCTAGACCAGTGGCTTGTTGGATTTGATCAACTAATGCATGAAGACCCTGAGCAGAGGGCCTGGCTCAGGAGATGCCTCTCAATGTCATGGTTACCATCAATATTGCTGTCACCCAGTGGGGGGCCGCTTGTCTCCTCTGCAGTGGTCCCTGAGGGAAGCTCAGTGCTGCGGGAGGCTTGTGGGGGCCCAGTGACTTAGACATAATCCTCTCCTGACGTCTCTGCCTCCTCTTCCAGGTGATGCTGGCACCAAGGACCCACTGGGACCATCTCACACTGAGACCCAGCGATGTCCCCTGTGTGGTCGAGTTGGGTCCTCCTCCAAGGGGGAGGGCCCAGACTCAGCCAGCTCTGGTAGGGACAGATGCTCCGTCTCTTCCCCCAGCTCCCCTGGATTCCGGTGTGGGCCCCTGGGAGGGGGCATTTAGCCGGGGTGACAGCTTGCGCAGTCTGGGATGGAGCAAACTGGTTGAGAGTTGGCTTCCCCAAAGCGAGGCACTCCCGGCATGGCCGGCCCCGTGTCCAGCTCTCATGGGGCTGGTGGGGCTGGGAGGACCCTCTGTTCTCTGTTAGATCTTCCCAAGTGGTGAGACTGTGTCTCTCTGGTGTCCCTCCCTGACAGCCCCAGAATTGGCCGCCACCAGGAGAAACGTACCTTCTACCTCCAGCCCCAAACAAAGGAGCAAGCGGACAGGGTCGTCACCCGGGCCGCCTCCTGCACTGTGGTATCTGGCTGCCGCGCCCTCAGCACCAGCCCCTCCTGCCTTTGCCTACGTCTCCTCGGTTCCCCTCGTGCCTTATCCATCAGCCACTGTGTAAGAACCTGCCGTCCCAACCCTCCTAGCCTTTCTGTCTGAATCGCTTAATAATTAGCATTCAGACCTGAGTTGGGTAGCTGAGAACTTGGGCACTGAGTAGTCCTGTGTTTCCCCCCGCCGACACTCATGCCGTCACTCAACAAACCCTGAATGCTCCCTGGGCACCAGTGAGAGTGCTTGGCCCTGGGGACCCAGCAGTGAAGGAGGCTGGCAGAGGGCCCTGACCTCTTACAGCTTCAGGGGGACCTAGGACCTTAACCATCTTCCATCTCCTTATGGGACTTCTCAGAGAGCAAGTAATACTTTTTCAAAAACTAGGCTTTATTTTTAGAACAGTTTTAGATTTATAGAGAAATGGAACAGATAACACAGAGAGTTCTCCTATACCACCCCCCAAACACAGTTTCTTCTGTTATAAACTTCTCACCTTGATATGGTATAGTGCAGTTAGTGAACCATGATTAATACATTGTTTATTAACTAAAGTCCACAGTTCGTCCAGGTTTCTTAGCTTTTACCTGAAGTCCTTTTTCTGTTCCAGGATCCCCCCCCCGCCACCCCACAAGTTACCACATGCATTTAGTTGTCACATCTCCCAGGCTCCTCCTGGCTGAGACAGTTTCTCAGACGTTCCTTGTTCCCGACGGCCTTGACAGTTTATAGGCATACTGGTCAGGTCCATGGCCAGAGGAGCAATCACTTTTTACATGGATTTGGATGTACCATCAGTCAAGACAGAAGAAGCACAGCAGTTGAGGCGGAAATGGTCCAGGTTTTAGAGTCAGAGCTGTACTGGAATCCGGTCTGCCACTTATTAGTGGTGTGGCCTTGGTAAAGGTACTTCCTCTCTGAGCCTCGCTTTCCCCATCTGTTAAATGGGGTCAGAATCTCAGTCACGTACAGTTGTATGAGGATTAAGTGAGGCAGGTGGCAAGAGCCCCACGAGCTGTTTGTGGGGTTCGTAGTGCAGTGCCAGCAAATGCTCTTTGCTGAATAAACAGCAGCTTTTGTCATCACAGCAAATGCTGCTGCTGTTAATATTGTCATTAGTAAGAGGAAAAGATGAGGAAAGGTGGCTTCAACACGATGGGATTGTGCAGGAAAAAAAAGGCCTGGACCCTGGAACTAGGAGACCTTTCTTCTTCTCCTGACTGTCATCAACTAGTTCTATGCCTCAGTTCCCCTCACTGTAAAATGACTGGGTCAGGGGTCCTCTTCAGTGGTGTGTTGTCAGAAGCCTGTGTCTGTGAGCAGCAAGAGGCCAGAGTTTCCATCAGGGCTGGCGCTTGGCAGGAGCAGAGGCCCAGGCACCATCCAGCTCCATGAGGAGTCCTGCCTACAGTGCGGTTTCTTGCTTTCCTCTCAGCTGAGATGGGGTGGGTCGTTAAGGAACCCTCCGCCCCAGCAGTTAAGAGAGGCCATACTGCATGCTCAGGCTTCTGATTCGCTGGACAGGAAAGGGTTTGCCTGGAATTTGGTGGCCCAGGAGAAAGCTCTGAGCGTCCACGGTAGCCATGGGTCTCTACTTCTGAGGCCATTCCAGATCTTCCAGGCTCAGACCTGTGGGCGGAACTAGCCAGGTTGATGTCCTCAGGCCTGGACAGGCCGTGGGGAAGGGGAAAGACCCTGAGCTTTAGTGCCCAACAGACCAGGCCAGCAGGTCACTTTGCTCCTGTGCCTCAGTTATTCCCTCTGTGAAATGGGTTGTGGAGAGGATTAAATGAACTGATGCATAGCAAGCCCATAGTACATAGAAGGTGGCCAGTAACCATAGTGCTTCTAATGCTACTGGAATTGGGGCTGATGCCACCCTGAAGTTTCTCCAGCTGCCCATCAGCAGGACTGAGCATGCTCAGTGGCTGAGGCCAGGAACCCTTAGAAAGCTGAATGGGCCTGTGCTGCCGCCTGCTGGCCAGCCACGTTATAGCCTCTGCACCAGAGGCTTTCTAGCCAGTTTTTTGGTTTGGGGGGGTTTCTTGGTTGTTGTTTGTTCTGTTTTGTAGCTTCTGCCCCAGGGGGAGTTTGGGGTAACTTTCAGGCCAAGCTGGTCATCAGGATTATCAGAAGGCAGGGGTGTGTGGGAACCCAGTAGTTACACCAGCTAGTCTGCCCTTAAAGGAGGGAACTGGATTCAAGAAGCCCATTCATTCAGTTCAGATGATACGTATCGGCATCTCCTGGGAGCTAATTAGCTCTGGGTTTAAATCCAGTACTGCTCCTTCCAGCTCTTTGACTCTGGGGGGGTCCTCAGTAGCTGACATTTACAGAGCGCTGGGCATACAGAGCTTTTAACCTGAATTTTCCTGTTGGATCTACCCTGGGTGGTAGCTAAATATGGCTGTTTTCCATGGAGAAACGGACCCCTTGAAAATGGTGTAGCTTGTTCATGGTCGTGCGGGTGGCCAGGATTTGGGGAGCTTCCCGCATCACTTAGCTTCTCCAAGCTTCACTTCGCTCATCTGTAAGATAAGTATAAAAGTACCTACCGAATAATCAAGACAGTGCTGGTAAAGGACTTATCTCAGAGCCTGGCAAATGGGTCCTGAGGATGAGGATGCCAGCCCCAGGCCAGGCGCTGTGTTTAACTGAGGAACTGCCAAACTGCTTTCCAAAGTAGTGGCACCGTTTTACATTCCCACCAGCAGTGTTGGAGGGTTCCGATCTCCCCACATCCTCACAGACACTCATTGCTGTCTTTTTGCTTTTAGCAATGAGTGTCTCTGAGGACACCCAGTGGGTGGGGAGTGTGTGAAGTGGCATCTCATGTGGTTTTGCTTTGCATTTCCCTGCTGGCTAATGATGTTGAGCATCTTTTCATGTGCTTGTTGGCCATTTGTACATCTTGTTTGGAGAGACATCTGCTCAGATCCTAGCAAAGCCCTTTTTTCACACTGTGCAATAATGCAATTTAGAAAGTGAAGGGTCAGGAATAAGACCAGAGTTTACAGCGTGCCAAGCAAAACACCAGTGAATGTCTCCAGCCAAGTTCTCCTAAACCCATTCCTGC